AAAAAAAAAAAAAAAATGCAGGTGATAAGGAAGTTTGTATGAAGTCAAGAAAAAGAGGCTATTTTTGTGATGGGAATTATATATATAAATCCCCACAAGAAATGATAATATGCATATTGGGACCTTATCTTTCTTAATTTTTGTTTCTCTTTGCAAGTGAGAGCTTGTTTAGTATGTGGGCTGTTAGAGGTGCTCATTTTCGGTTAGTCTGAGTACCTGCACATGTGATGTTTGTGGAAGGTCTGTGTTACTGCTAGTACTTAAATTTGTTAGGTTGGAGTTTACCATTTCCGGCCCTAATCCATACTTTAGTATAAAATTTAATCTACTCTAAAGTAGAGTTAACTAACACTTCCTTCATTGCCGAAGGTCTGTTGGGTATCAATTCTTTAATGTTCCGCAAGATGGGGTACGTACATGGCTTCAACATGATCTTATTGATGTGTCCTATTCGCGAAACGTGTGTAACTTAAACCGATAGGTTTGGGCCTCTTCCTTTGTACAAAAAGAAAAAAAAAAAAAAATATTCAATTGTTAGTGCTACATTTTTACTCTAAATCAATATTTGCATTTTATTCGCATTAATTTGATTGTTTTAATACCAAAAATATAATTTAATGAAATATGCTATCTTGCACATATTTAGTTATATAAATTACCAATATTGATTGACAAAAATACATTTAAATACAATATTATTTACATAATGTTATGTTATTTATTAAAGAGTATTTAATTCCTTCCTTAAACATCATAAAGTTACGATGATTTCTCAATGGGTAATATAAGTCATAAAATTGTTACTATATTTAACAAATTACAATAAAATACAACAGTGTGTGTATATATATATATATTGTTGTATCTTAATGTATCTTGTTAAACATAAAATATATACAATTAATGTATTTTTATATGTTTAACAAGATACATTAAGATACAACAATATATATATATATTTATATATATATATATATATATATAGAGAGAGAGAGAGAGAGAGCGAGAGAGAGAGGATCATATGCAAAAGATGGATAGTGAAAAAAATAAGAATAATTTTGGGCTATTTGATCATTCATGTGAATGCAGAAGATGAAGTCAAAATTAATTAATAATGGTCAAGCTGCAATGGCAAACTTGTAAATATGTGCCTATTTATTGGTCAAACAAATACTTCAGAGGGTAATTGTGTAATTTTATCATCCCAACTCAGTGGGTCCCACATATAATCATCCTCACCATTACACAAAACACGGTCTCCCATTTCTCTTTCTCTCTCTCTCTCTCTCTCTCTCTCTCTCTCTCTCTCTCTCTCTCTCTCTCTCTCTCTCTCTCTCTTTCACACACACACACACGGTCACTCACAGACACATCCATACACATTTTCACTCCGATGGCCACCATCCCATACCAGATCGCCGCCGCAACAAATCAGTCTGTCACGTCGTAGCTGCCGTATCGCCGCCACAGTACGCCGACTTCTCAGACCCGCTGATGTTGGAGCTTCCTTGTCGATAGGGATTAGCTGGTCAGACCCGCCGTTGTCGGAGCTTCCTTCCGCCTGAGTTATCGTCACCACCGCCTTCCGCCCGCGTCGCCGTCACCACCGTCTTCCGCTCGCCATCGACACCACCTTGCTTCTGTCTTGACGGCCTCCGAGAGCAGTTGCAGATGGCCAAATCCGACACCTACCAGCACAATTTCCTCGGCCACGACCAAGCGACGACCAAAATCACCCAAGAAATCGACGTTCTCTCAAGCAATACACCGACATCAAGGATTGCCATTGGACAGCCAACTCGTGTCCTCCACTGTCCGAATCGTGCTGCCATCGGAGCTCTTCTTCCACTGTCCGAATCGTGCGGCCACTGGAGCTCTTCATCGTCATTCCAATCCCACCGTGCCTCCGCCGGCTTCAAGGATGTGGGATTTTGATTGGGGCAGTATTTGGGGGTAAATCGGACTTATGTGAAATCAGTGGATAAGATTTGGATTTGGGCTTGGTTTTGAAAAATTTGACATGCCTAAAGGACATAATTGCAATTTCAGGATTTTTTAATATATTAAAATCTTGTTTATGGATTAATTTCGTAATTTACTAAAAATTTAATAATTGTACATTAATGTTCAAAGACTACACATTACTATTCGATATATTACACACCAACGATGAATGTAATGCACAGTAGCGTGTGTGTATATACACGTTAAAAAAAATACAAACTTTCTCAACGTGCTCATTTTGCATAATATTGTTTATCGGTTGGTTCGGTTGAACTATCCGTCCAGAACATTAAAATTAAAATAATCGAGTCGAACTTCGTTCATTCAATCGGTTAACCAATTTAACCAAAATAAACCTAAGTAAATTATAATATTGTAAAAATATATTTTGTATCTAATTTGATAATTTATATTTATATATTGCTCAAACTACCTATTATATTTATATACGCATATAAAAAATAAAAATAGAGCTGAAACCAAACAAATATTTATTAGAATTTTAAAAGTGAATCAACCGAAATACAAAATTTTAGACCGATTATTTTATTTAGGTCGACTTCGGTCACTATTGTGCAATATGTCGGTCATTAAGGTGCAATTTGTACAACGTTGTTGTGCAAAGGTTTTTTTTTTTTTTTTTTTGAAACGATAAAGATATTATATAATAGAAGCCGCACAAAGTGGGAAGAGAAAACAACAAAAAACTTAATAGTACGACCAAAGGCTGAAAAGACTGAGAGACAGATCTGAAGATCGCCTAGAGCCTGCTAGCAACGCTAGAATAACGAACTCACAATTACACAAAAGCAACTAACAGAAACAAAAACGAATAAAAAAAGATCACAACAGGATAATGTCTGTCGTGCCTGGTTTATTTGATTGGTTATTTTATATTCTTATACAATTTTTTATATTATAAAATGAGTATTTTTATATTCTTATATAATATATTATGTCAATTTTGGAATATATATAAAAATTTATATAAAAAAATTTATATATGGTTCGGTTATTTTGGTAATTTTTTTTTTTTAAGATGGCATCAAACCAAAATATATTCAAAATTTTAAAAGTAAAAACATATAATTTAATAGAAATATAAAAAATAAACGAACGAAAAATTTTATTTCGGCCGGCTCAATTGCTATTGTGCAGTATGACAATGAAATTTGATACTTGACCACCAAGTACCCAGAGTTGCACGTTAACTGAATAAACAGACTGTAATGAAGATTCAAACAATTGCGGAAGCAGTTTTTCACTAAAATTTGAATCTTCAGGAGAGCGTCCCACTCTCCCTTCAGATCTCTTTCATTAATGTGAACAACTCATACATCATCTAAGGGTTTACAGTATGGACTCCCTCTACACTCTACTTGATTGATGATTCACACAACTACTTATCTGACCACAACTCCCTTGTAGATTTTCTAGTTCAAATCCCTCAAACTATAAGAACGAACCTCCGAACGTTATTTTACAAAATATTATAAGTATCACTCTTTTTTACTCCCGAAAGAAAAGAAAATAACTAAACAAAAGATATCAAAAGCCATCCTCAACTCTGGTCTCGTCCTCCTTTTATCTTCAGCATTCTTTTTGGAAAAACTTCTCATCCAAGGCAAACGCATATAAGGAATGATACTCTCGCGATTCTCCTTTTACAATTATGGAAGGTGAATTTTACGATTCTCCTTTTCTTTAGAATATGGAAAGCGTATCTCCCCCTCAATCCCAAGGTCCTTCCATAATAAAACGTAAATAATCAGTCCTGTGAACTTAATTAAAATTAAGACTTATTCATACTAAAAATAAACTTCCCTTAAATACTTCCGTAAATTTCTGGTCTCTGCGAACATCAGAAGGTTCATCGATTTACTGCCAATCTTCAGTACTTTCAATCTCTCCCTTTGGCAGATAAATCGAAAACCATGAACCTGCAAAGATGAAACAAATAAAAAAATTGCAGAATACACAACATCCTAAGAATACTAATATCACACATGTGTTGTTCTAAGGAACAACTTCAAATACCTGAATATCAGCACATTAGTTCACAAAATATCCCACAAAAGTTCATCAAACGCAAGTTAATAAAGCATAAGGAAAGAAGTTCAGGCTAAACACACAAAACATAGTTTTTAACAAGAGATAAATGAAAGTCCTACTGGGAGATAGCTATGCAGATTCTTCCTCGTCAGATTCTTCCCCAGAACCTTCTTCAGCACCATCCTCATTCCCTTCCTCTAAGCTTGCCTCCTCTCTCATCCTCGGTATCAGATCCAGCTTCTTCATCCTCTCTTTCTTCTGAACCTTCATCTTCTCCCACAACCTTTTCATTTCTTTTGTCTTTAGCAGCAACAATCTTCTCTTTACCTTTTTCCTTAGCAGCAACAGCAACTTTCTTTGACTTCTTTTCTTCAGTAGACCCAGTCTTCTTCTCCCCCTTGGCAAGAGCTCTCTTCTCCCCCTTAGCAAGAGCTTTCTTCTTTGCAGCAACAACATCCTTCTTTTTCTCCTTTTTTTTTGATTTAGAGACCAACGGGGCATGAGACTTCAAAGCACCCAAAACCTCCTTGTAGTATCTTCTCTGATCAGCCAACTTCTTTTCAAGCCCCGCGAAAACTGCCACTTGATGATTTAAAAATCCGCGAAGCTGTGAAGGTAAATCAGAGGCCTTAACAAGAGAAGGACGAGGCGGAGCAACCTTAACACCGGCAAGGGCAAGAGGTTTGTTAGCAGGGGTATAACTATCACCAAGTCGAGGATCCATTTTCACCCCAGCCTTAAAGAGAATAGCACATATGG